AAACAAAATTACTCATAATGTGTCTCTGATGTGTCCATATTCTACTTTTTTAAATGTGTCCATGGTATGAAGCACAGATATTTCGTTAAAACTGACGTATCTGCATCAGATATGATACTCGTCAGATACTCGAGGATATGTATCGAATACACATTAAATGTTAGATATTTCTATATGTAGCGATGTTTGTATAATTTTAGTTTTAATCTTTACTCCCTCATTCCGAATTCAAAAAAACAATCCACTATCAATAAAAATCCATGACTTTCAAGACAAATGGGTGTTTGTCAAGTATTATTCACTATCTCATATCCAAAGAGTATAAATGAGTCGATTACAACTATAATCTTAGCAAAATATATTTCTAAGCTAACAACCTAAGTAAATGTTGGTTCTTATTTACTTCATGGACATACCATAATGAGACGATAGGTATCTTTTTTAAAGTAAAAAATCGCTAATATTGTTTATTATTGTTTAAAAATAACTAAATATTATACCTATCAAGTCGTTACACAACAAAACGAATATAAAATATATTTTCTATACACGTATCCTGACCATATGTATATCTTATTTATTTGGATTTTGTTGTATAGTTGTATGTATCCGTATCGTACTCATATCCCTTAACCGTATCCATGCTTCTTAGCGTCCATGTCATATCATATTCGTATCCTTGTCTCTTAGAATTAAGCTTCTTTACAAGGTTATCTATCTTATACATTGTTTCTATTATTTCCCAAGATGGACCACAGTGTGTATTGCCATCCAATTTTCTCAATTTCTTTGTTATATATTATTGTCAAACTGCAGGCATGCACACAAAAGAGTATCACCACAAATTAAGAAGGAATTCTTTGTGAAAGAATAAAAGCGTTACCTATACGACCAATTTTCATTCCTGAACGGGCAAGGGCACGGAGTGCTGATTGAGCACCAGGGCCAGGAGTTTTTGTCTTGTTCCCACCTGTTGCACGGAGCTTAATATGAAGAGCACTGATGCCAAGTTCCTGTTTGGAAGAAGAAAATGTCATTCATATTGTGTGGCAGTCCAGTAAGATAGCAATATCACTAAATATTAAGCCTAATGTACAGGAAGAAAATCCAGTATTAAAATTTAGAGAAGAACATAGTGTAACAGAGGCAACTCTAGAAACCCCTGAATTTTTTTAATTTTTTTTTTTGGGGGGCGGGGTGGGGAGGGGGGACGAGAAATAAGACTTCTTTTTATAGGAAGTTTGGAAGTAAAAAAATGGCATACAAGATGTTTAACCAAGAACAAGAAAAAACCATAGAAATATGATGTACTAGGCACCAGAAACCAGAACAAATAAATCACCTTTTAATGAGTATAACTGCTAGGGAAGCTAGAGCATGAAATTGAAAATCATGATTACAACCTTGCATCTTTGTGAAACATCTTGTGCAGCAAGCATGGCAGCATATGGGGATGACTCGTCCCTGTCTGCTTTCACTTTCATACCACCTGAAAAGGCAGGTTACAGGTACGTCAAGTGTAAATAAATAACAAAGGATGTTCAGAAACTGGAACTGTTAGGGTACTAAGGGACAATGCCAGTTCAACATGTGCTCATCAATCAGTTCAGATTAGCCCAAAATTTTATTCTTACAACTGACTATATTCTACAGACTCCAAACTGAAAATTCATTGGGATACACAACTGCAGAGATACTACAATTCTCCAAAGGACTACAAAAAATTTTAGCACTAGTACATATAATATTGTGTAAATAAAAATCTCACCAGTGATGCGAACCAAGGTTTCTCTTCCAGACAAATCAGTCACATGCTGCATTTCAACCAGATACGCCATAAATTATGGAGTTTCAACAAATCCTATGTGGAGAAAGAAAACAAAACTCATTTTCCACTTACAATGAATGTGTCATTAAATGATGCAAAAAAGTGGGCAACACCAAAGACATTCTCTCCATCCCTTACAGCAGGCCCAAGTGTCATTCTCTTCCTTTGGCTCCCTTGTCCTTTTCTTTGACTACAAAACCATCCATGCACAATTCAAACAAAACAAAACATGCCACATATCAATCTTATATTTTTTAGAAGGGCAAAATTTATCTTTCCTTCAAGTGCAGTAATAACTGTCATGTATCCAATACTGTGATATAGCATTACATTTCTCAAGGTACATTTATCTAGCAAGTATTGTTGATACTAAGATGGTCAACAAACCCACACATTCTTTCTAACTGAGAACTCCCAAACCCCATAAGCTAAGCAAATTCAGTTCATCCCCCTTGAAACCAGTGAACGAACAGCAACCAAATTATCAATTGTACTTATAGAATCATATCCACCTATCATGTCAGTCTTTGAGCAGCTTGTGCATTAGAGTGTAAACCCACACATGAAATAGCATTGAACAAACACAAATTTAAACAGACAAGACGATGACTAAACGTGAAACATTCAAAAGAAAATTCAGCAAATAAACGAACATCCTTAACAAAAATCCATTTTTTTTATTAAAAGGGTGTCTGGACCTCTTAAAGCATCCAACTTGCCCACCTCAACACTTTCATTTTCCCCAAGTCAGATCGAACCCATCGATCTATCTATGAAAAGCTAGTTTTATATAGATCTAACAATGAATTATGCATACCCATAAGCGCATAGTACAACACACACACACACCCCACATATATATATATCTCAATCAGTAAATGTATGGCGTTGTGCTTACTGTTAGGGTTTGAAAAGCTTACCATTGCTTCCAACTGATGAGATTGTAGATGGCGAGAAGGGTAGAGAGGGAAAGCTTGCGGCAATTAACTGTGTAAAACCCTAGAGAGAGAGAGAGATGTATCAGTTGCGCAGCTGCACTTTATATGAAGAGAGTCGATATTTACAAAAGAGTCCTCTCATCTTCTCTTAATCTCAAAACTGTTTAAAAGCCATGGAATTATTTTCAAGTAAAATGCAAACATATCCCCGATGGTTTCCAATAATCAGCAAGTTTCCCCTTACTTTTCTGATCCCCCCATAATGCCCGCAAAAATAATAACATTGTCTCAATTATACACGTGGAAGTGGATACTAAATATTAGGACCGTCAATTTTCGACACAACACGAACTGAACACGAAATTAATGGATGGAAATAAACGAGTTAATGGGTTAAAACTAGCCAACACGCTTAAACACGAAAAAAATAATATCAGGTTGATGTCAAAACTAGATCAACCTAATTTTTACTTGATTAACTCGTATATTTTAAACGGGTTGACATGTTTCGGATACGAATCGGACTCAACTCATTGTAAAACTATTTTAATGCAGTATAGTTTGTCTATTTTGTATGACTGATGTAGTTTTAATTTTATTACTTATTAGTTCTTACTTCTATTGTGGTAATTGACAATATAGTTCATAGCATTATTATGACAGTATACTAATATAGTTTTTACTTTAATTTTTGGGTCGAAACTTAAATGTATTTTAGTTAATTTAATTGATAAGATGTGATATGTTATTTGTAAAAAAATTATTTGAATTTTTTGATAAATAATTGAATGTTGTATTTAATAGCAATGAATAGGTGTGAAAACAAGTTATGTATATTAAACAGGTCTGTGTTATGTGTGCTAAATAGGTCAAAATAATATGTGTGCTAACCTAAAAACAACATGTTTATTAAATGTTTCAAACAGGTCAGGTTCAGGTAACCCGTTTTAATAGTCAGGTTAAATTAGTGTTTACACATTTCGATACAATTATTAAACATGTCATGTTCGAGTTTTGGAATTTTTAACACAAACTCTAAATTATCCCGACACAAAAGAACACAACTTAACACGTTTGACACTCCTACTGAATACTTACTCCCAAAATAATTGACAAAATCTCATTATCTCAATAAATGATAAGGTTACGATATCATGCCGAAATTTACATGCAATTATTGGATTTAGTTTAAATAATTCATAACAATATATTGAATAAATATTTAAGTTACAAATATTAAAACAAAAAAAACACAAGGGTCACAATTTTATTAGATGAATAATGGTTGCATAATATTAAAAATTTATTTTTGGATTCTATAATTGAACTGCTCAATAAAAGGTCGTTGGTCAATGAACATAGCAATAGATTTTTTTTTAACCCAAAGGTAATGTAGCAATAGACTTTAGACTGCATTTATGTGCATTTCTACCTCGCGTTGATTTGATGGAGTTCGACTTCCCACCAATTCTATAAGAATTAAAGGATTTTCTACGTATCAACAGATTCAATTGATTCAAAAAATTTCTTTAAAATTTTTAAATTCAAAAACAACTAAAATTGCTAATGTGTTTGAATCTTAACCATTCAAATAAAACAAGTCAAGGGATGAAAGCGAAGAACACGGTTTTCAAGTTGAAAAAACCTAGGGTTCGTATGAAATTGGAGGAAAGTGTGTACCACTGGGGATGAGATGCATCTCCTTATATTTGTGTGTTTGTATCAGTTTATGCACTTACTCATCCGTTATTATTTTCCTTTTATTTGTTTAAATTTCCAGGTCCTTTCCATTATTTGTCACCACACTCAAAAACCGAAACTACAAGCAATAATATAAATAAATGTATAATGGTTCAATACACAAGACTCTACTGCAAGATCAAAAAAAAATTAAATATACACAATCTTTATCTCTACAAACAAAAAAAGTGGTTTCTACGACTCAAACCATTAAAATCGGCCACATAAGGTCAGCAATATCACTAATGGTTGTGGTTTAACCCCCACACCACATACAAGAGGGACATAACCCCAAACAACCGAGCTGAACCCTTGCTTTCCCAATTCCATATGTCAATATGCCAGAAAACTAAATGTAGGAAAAGAACCAAACCAATTTTAGCCATGGCCTTTCATCCCCACAACTTCAATGCAACACCACCCTCAAGTTTGAGAATTTGCCCTATCCAACTACTCCAATCAGTAGTAAAGAGATGCAAGAATTGAATATATGATTAAACACTGATGTCAGTTACATTTGGATTCACCATCTCACAAGCAAACTCAAAACTACTTTTTTTCCAGAAGGTAGCAAAACTTAAAACTTTTTTTTTTCCCAGAAAGGTAACTATTTCTTTTGCCAGTTGGAAGCACCACCACAACAGGTGGGATGATGCTGGTAAATGGATCATACAACCACTACACTTCCGTAGATCATCCACAATATTTATCTGATAGACAGAATCCAATCCAATTGATACCCAAACTGAAGAACACTCAGCTTTGATTTGAATCCAGAGGCCAGACACGTCCCATTGTAAATCCTCTGGTTCCATCAGGCATCCTTGGAGTTGGGGCAAGAGGTGGCTTTGAGACATCCATGTGGCGCCAAGAGGAAACAGTTTCAGGGACTAAAATTGTCAAAGTTAGAAAAAGAATGATTAGTTCATTCAGTGAAGCTAGAAGATCCTTAAGAAAGGAATCGAACCAAAAATAAATAAAGTAACTTGCTAGCATATTTTTTTCGTTAAAGCCACAGTGCTTGTCTCTCCTTCCTCGTCCTTGATTTCCACCCCTACGTCCATTTTTCTCTTTGGATGTATGCTGCCCATCCTGTGATTCAAAGGAAGCAACATAAATATATATATATACACTATTTTTTTAAAGAAAAATTAAATATTTAAATATATTTTAAATATTGTAAACAATTTTAATCAAATTAAATGCATTTTGTATTTTGGATCCAACGGAAATAACAGTCTATAGGATGGTGGAAACCCTCCAAATCCAAAAAACACTCCAAACTCGGATGAAGGCCAAGGTTCTATTTGATGTCTCAATACAAAAACCTAAATATTTTGCTGCCCCCTGACCAAAAATAAAAAGATATTTGGCTGCCCCTCCATCATGTGCCACTTGGTTGCCAATTGTACAGATGAAAAATGAAAATTACCAGCAAATAAGGTGTTGAAATGGCGGGAGTACGGTCAAAAGTGACAACAACTTCATCCTCTTTACTTCTATCAAACTCGTCAGACAAAGAGAGCTTCAAGGCTTCAACTAAAATGCTCATATCAAGCATCATCTCAGTCGTACAGATTTCATGATTCTACCATAGGCAAATTATTTTGGCAGACAACAATTTTCAACGATAATGCAGCCTTGTCAAAAGGGGCTGGTAGTATCAAAATGATCGCCATTCATCAGGTAATACAATTGCACAATTAATGGTAATGTTTAATCTTTCATATCTGTGAGATCCCCTTGAGGATTACTCCTCAAGGCCAATGTGAATCAAACTTAAACCTTCAACAAAAAAAGGATAAATATCAATGATGCCCGCTGTAGAAACAGAAAAAATATTCATTGCAACAGTAATACCACATTAGCATTACCATGTGGTGTCACCAACCAATAATATGTAGACAAAAAACGAAGTGAACCCCACACAAGTCAATAACTACCCATCTATGTAAACAAATTACTACTCACTCTTCTTCCCCATAAGCCAATAACTACCCAAGTAGAGTTCACTTTGTTCATTTGAGGTTTTATTATTGGTTGGTGATACCATGTCATCAATGTTGACATGGGATCACTGTTAAATTGAATATTTTCCCGTAAAAATATCTATCTATATAATAAGGGAGGGAAATTGTTTGTCATTAGCTTTTTGCGGTTAAGATCGCTTTAAGATTATTGATCCAACGACTGATACTGATACTTCTCTTTCAAATTTTTTTTCCACCAAAAAATTACAAGAATCCTTTTATTTTTGGACTCGAAGACTTTATCTCATCCTTAGACTTTATCTCAACCTCATCTCTACGGTCCCACCCCATGCGTCTCTCCTCTCTCTCTCCCAACTTTTTTGCAGCAGTCTCAAAAAACATACATCAGCCATACCCAACCATCAAGAGCTTTTGAGTGGTTTGCAATGTTTTAAAACCCGGCTTGGCTTGCCGGGTTAACCCGGTGCCTAAACCGGGCCAATTCACCTATTAGATCGTTTATGCACCAAAACCGGAGTAAACCTGGCAACCCGGGAAAAAACCGGTAAAAATCGTCAAACCAAACGAGTTACACAAACCGGCCAGGTTTATTTAATATAAAAATTGAATTTTGGGCCCTTTTTGGCATTTTTGCCTTGCTACCCTAATCGTTCCTTCTCCATTCCCCCAACCAACCTCTCTCTCTCTCTCTTTCTCTCTCTCTCACAGAGTCTCATGACTCTCATCAGTCTCTCTATCCCTCTTTGATTTTGGTCTCTGCTGTAGTGTACACTGTGCACTGCGAGCATGAAGACTCGAATCGAAGAGGAAGGAAATTTGATCCCTAACTTCTTCGCTTCGATTTTGATTTTTGAAGGAGAAAGCTGCTTCACCTTCACTGTTTCAAAGCTCCATCGACATCGAGGCAACCGATCGATGATAACCACCAAGCATCATAACAGGTATACTACTCTCTCTCTCTCTCGGTACATGGTGGAACAATCAGCCATGGAAGCTTTGGAACAGTCAATCTTCCAATACCCGAAAGCCAGAGCCCACAAATTCCTCCATTAATGGCCGTGAACTCTTGTGATGCTTCGCACTCTGTTTTGTTGATGAACGAAAAAATGGTATCGGAGGTCTTTAGCTAATGAAATTGTACAATGTCTTGATGGAGTACGCTTCTGGAGGGTCTTTAGCTGATGAGCTTAAAAATTCTGGTGAACATCGATTATCGGAATCAGACATCCGGCGATACACGAAGTCATCACCAAGAGGGCTTCACTATATTCACATGAATGAGTATGTTCACTGTGATATTAAGCTTCAAGAAATCCTTTTATTTTCTTCAAGAAAAGATCAAAACAGCACAAAAAAAACTGTTGGGTATCATTTTTTTTTGTGGGTTGGAATTTGGAGGGGGGTTGATCTCAGATTGGTCTTGGTCTCTCAGTTTGTGGGTTACAATATTATTAGGATGTTATTGATACTAGAAATTTTTAGACTTGAAATTGATTTTACATATAAGGTTGTTTTTTATGCTGTGAAATGAGATGATGTTAAATTTATTGCCTGACGCATCTTAATTTACGCTTTGAAGAGTGCAAATTACATGGATTATACTTAAATTGAATGATTGATGCATAGTCGAAGACTTGTACATAGAGTCTAAAAGATAAATAGAAGTATTTTTTTACTACTTACCTTTAAATTTACAAATTGTATTAGAAATTAAATGCATTTGGTACATATTTGATGATTTTTCTCTACTTAACTTTACATGTTTGCTACTATTATCATAATTTTTGTGAGTTTTTAGCCTATTTATTATTATTTATAATTATTATTTATTTTTTTATTATATAACTGGTTCGACCGGTAACCCAACGGTTGAAACAATGATCCACTGACCCGATCTCTCTGTCGGGTTGATGTCCGGACCGAGTTTTAAAACTATGGTGGTTTGTCCATCCCTCTTTCTATCTGTAGAACACACCAAGCATTGATGAAGTGGATTTGGATGAGGGAGAGAGTCTAGAAGATGATGACGTTGCAAACTGTTTATGGATGCCCAAAAAAGTTGGAATATTCAATTTAATGATGGATTTGAGAGACGATATTGAAGCCTCTACGAATGATAACTGGTACCTCATGAATCACCTTGCTTAACATGCAATGGTAAATAGATTTTAATTTGTTCTATATTGTATTTTAGTTTGTTAATACATGACATGTTTTATTTGAGAATCTGTGATATACAATTAAATATATATTAATTAGAAAAATAGGTGTTGATTCTCAGTTTTCTTTTATATTGTTCTTTCTCTAGCTTTCAAGTACACATGGGTGGAGGGTTTCTTGAGTCTATGCTTTCTCTTAATTTTGTTTAATATGGCTATTGCTGAGAGAAAGAACCCGAATTCCAGCAATTGAAATGTCATCAAATGAACTGTTCTGGTGTTTTCTGGATTGATTTTTTTTCTTATATCTATTTCACAATTCCCAGATTTCATAATTGGGTTGTTGGGTATTGATTTCTTCTAATGGATGTTTATTGGTGAAATGTTCTGTCGTTTTCGGATTAATTATTTTAGTAGAGACTTGAGGCATTATATTGAAATTAGAATTCTCAACTATTTGGAATTTCTTTTTATTTTATTAGTTATTCTTACCAACATTTACTTTTAGTATGTTTTAGATCCTAAAAATTCTCTCGACTAGCAGGTTCCAAATAGACGGTGAGTGTGGCCTGTAAGCGCACTTGCGAGAAATTTTCTAACACGGTGAGTGTGGGCTTGGACCTTTCTTTTGTTGGGGGCGACAATAATGCTCAATTTGGTTTTGTTTTTGCAATTGGTTGAGTTTTTCCCGATATGTCGTTGCGGCAATGGTTATTAGCTAAGTAATATGTTTTATTTTTTTGTGTTATGTCATCGTGACAATGGTGATCAACTAAACTTTGTTCTTGGCCTATGGCATTTACAGAAATTACAACATTACCAATTTCAACTTTTTTCCATAGATCCTTATTTTTTTTCATACTGTTGAAATGAATTTTTTTTTGTTTGTTATATAGTGTCCTCAGGTACGGACAATTACTAGTATATAATAAGGGACTTAGTTATTTGAATTTTATCCCTATATATTTTTCTCATCTATTTCTATCACATCACTTATTTCTGTCTAAAAATTGAATTATTTAATTTTTGATTAATTTGTGATTCAATTCAATTTTTATTTCGATCATTGTTCATATACGATAGTGTACACATTTATATTTTGAAAAAACTTTACTGATTTTTGTGTTGCACCATATTTTTCAGTACGGAATATTGCTATATATATATATATAATGACAAGTTTGCCTCGACTCTGACAGAAAGTGTTCGAGGCTACCTACAAAGACTTGACCAAAGAGCTCCCCGAGGTACAAGAGGCTGCCATATCTGAACTCGCCAAGATGTCAATGAGGTGCCAGAGGTGAACAGAGTGGGCTTGGAGTATAGACGATGACACAATTAGGACTTGATACCATTAAGGGCATTCAAGTAAATAAAAAAAAAAGTGATACAATTAGTTTGAACTAGAAGATGGATAAGAACCTCAAAATGTCCTTAATCTCTTGAAAGAACAGAACTTGGACTTAATACATAAAAAGATTTTTAAAAAAGACTGACTTTTAATTTTCACTTTTTTATTAATTAAAATTTAGTTGGACTTTTTGTTGAATTCAATTTTTATAGATTTAAATTGATAAAATGGACTATATTATAGACCTCTCAATTTGGAATTTTTTGTTAATAATATTATATTAACCTAATTTATCACAGCTATCATATTGATAGTGAATCTTAACAAATATCAAAGCTTTCTATCTATTCAATAATTACAAGTGATTAGGTCACAAATTAGATCTGGGTGACCTTGCTTTTTTGGGCTAAAGCCCTAATTTATTGGCAGCCAGCCTTGATATAAATAGGCACAGAACTCAAGCGTTTGTCCTAAAGCATTCCAAGAGAGACTATGTGAGAGAGTTTCTCGTAAAGCATTCCAAGAGAAAGAGAGGGTCTGTGTGAGAGAGATGGGAATGGGAAAAAGAAGATTGAGATAAAGAAAAAGGAGAAAGAATTGGACGGAATGGTGACATTCTCAAAGAGACGTCAAGGCCTCTTCAAGAAAGCCCGTGAGCTCCACCTGAGAACCAATGCTAACGTCGCTATCCTCGTTTTCTTAGAAGTCGGCCAAGTTTACACTCATGGAGACCCCTCTTTTGAAGCCACCATTGATAAGTACTTGAGCACTCACCAAGAAATTATTATCCGTGACGATCATGTTCCGACCGGCCAGGTTTACACTCACGGCAACCCATCCTCTAAGGCCACCATTGATAAGTACTTGACAACTAACCAAGAAAGCCATAGAGATTGTGAGACCAACTCGTAGAGGACATGGTTGGATTCTATACAAGCTGAAGCCTATAATGACATGGACCAGCTGTTGGAACGGAAATCCCAAGAGCCGTTGACAACACACATTTATCGAATATTAAATTTTTCTTTAAAACCCTATAAGGCGGAATTAGGATTTACATTCTAGATCCCTCGGGATTGATCTCGTCTCAGCATGATCACAGAACAGAACAATGAGCAACCGAAGGACAGCTCGACGAACCTTGCGACCTTCTTTCGTATATCCCCAACGTCAAAATCCAAATGTAGTGTGGGCTGCCAAGACCTCCGAATCCTAGCTCTTTCTTTCCGCATCTCTCAAAAACGTGAGTAAATAATATATGCTGAATTAGAGAGGCTAGAAGTATATATATAGACTACGACAAAGACCCTAAGGAGAAATAAGGACTGGGCTTTCAATGGGCTTAGGATTCCTATACTTAATAATCTCTCCACATTTAATATTACAGATTTTCATCAATTAAATAAATTACTAACAATTATATTTAATTAACTTCTTATATTCCTTGAGACCTTATCCCTCAATTTATTTGTTATATCGGATAATTAAATCCACTTGCAAGATTGACATGGATAAAACTTATGAACTTCCTCAAGAGGACATCTTCAACCCATTTAAATATTAGGACGTGATTTCCTTTAATATTTAATTTTCACCATATAAACAACATCGTCTCTCAATTCACCGAGCTTATTGACTCAATATAAATCTCACCCTTTGATGAATTAAAGCGACAAACATTACATGCACATGACAATTAAATATTTGGGAATTAAGAGCACAAGCAATCATAATAATCATAAGGTATTTATTATCTTATTGAACCAGTAAAAGATAATACCCTCAACATGAGTTTGTTCAATACACAAAGTGTACTAGTGCAATAATTCGAGACATCAATCAGTCTCCTACAATCAAGTCAGACTATGCCGGAATATTATACTACAATCATACCAATAATGTGCTCAATTCTATCTAGGATTGTAAACATATACACATATTATACAAGGATCCGATAATTTAGTCTTCTGTGTACAAGTCAAACTCTACATACTAGATTATCTACAATGTAAAATATAAGACACATGCATACCATATATTAAATATAATGCAAATATTTTGCCCATATAGATTCTCAAAAAAATTGAAAGAAAACTATTATTAATTAATAAAATGAGTTTCACTACAAAAAACAAATTTTTAGTATACTACTCTGTCACCACTGCTTCAGTTGAAGACGGGTTTGGAGGACATTAGAGAGAAGTTGGTTCAGAAGATTGATGATTGAGATTAGGGCTAATTTAGTTTACTTGAATCACTCATTGGCATGGTTGATTTGAATAGTCTTTGTATTGGTTGCTTCTTTGTTATCGGATATGTATGACGAGTAATGCTATTTGGATCTAAAAATTTGACATAATTTGCTAATCTAATGATGTAGTTTCATCGGAACCATTGGATTAACACCAAATTTCAATGTTTGATAGGACCCACAATCAATCCAAAGATCATAGTGAATCAGGTCAATAAATTAGATCTCAATAGCATTGCTCATGTATGATAACATGAGTCTGTCGGTGAGAGTTGTTCGCAAATTTTAAGATTGCCATCACCTAAGACAGCTTGAAAAAGTCGTAAAAAGCACAAGGGTATATGTTTGATCACGCTGCATATTTTCCTGTATTTTTTTATTCGATAAATAAATATTCTCCTGTATTCGATTTTATGGTGTTCTTATTCTACTTTCTATATTTGATTTCATGGTTTTTCTTGCATAGAAACAAGTATATTTGTCTATTGACTTTGGTTCCTCCTCTGCAATTTTTTGCTGACTTGTACTCTTGATATTTCGTCTTAGGCTTTACAGATTATGGACAAGACAGAAATTTATGCAATTACCTCCTAACATTTTCATTCTGGATATCTACAGGTACATAGAAGGAATGACTACAATAATGAGTTGGGTACTATGTCAAAAGGTACAATTGAATAAGAACTAATTATAACTCACCTTGGGTTAATATGACTAAAAAGTTTGGGATCAATCCTAAACGACACTATTTTGTCATAAACTTGTCCAATTGTGTTGTGATTTTCACAAAAAAAATCAAAAAATAAACCGGTATCATAATCTTTCCATATATACATATACCCGGTCTCTCTCTCTGCCCCTCTTATTTCCTACATAAGAGCACACATCACATTTCCCACCAATCTCCCGATACCACCAGCACCCACTGACCTCTCCCTCTCTCTCCCCCCTCATAAACACACCCCCCCCCCAAAAAAAAAAAAAACCAAAGCAGTTGCCCCCGCCACCAATTTTCACAACAACCCACACCTTTTCCATCCAACCTACAGTGGAAGCAATAGAATAAGATAGCCCAACACCCCCTTGATTTCTTGGTATTGGAATTTTTTGCAATTTCGTTTGGGTTTTACATTCAATATGCAGCTTTAGACTGCATCTCATTTTATGTCATGAATCTATACAGTATATAATAACAGTTTCTGTGTATTTGGGAATGACTTCATGAATGAGATTTGATTTTGATGAAATGCGGTATTGGTATTGCATTTCTTGTATTCATATGGCTTCTTCTGGTGCCACTGGATGGGAAATTGATGGAGCTTGTGTAAAGTATATACATATACACATATATATATACCCATATATATTTATTTATTTATATGTATATAGGGAGAGAGAGAGAGAGACAGAACAGAACAAGGGAGAGAATGTCAGTAGAGGGACGAGTGCTTGTGTGGTCGTGTTTGAAGGTGTGCATGAGCAACAGTGGTAGTGTAGGTGTTATTGATATTAACTATAAGGGACTACAGTGATATTTTTGAAAAATATAGTGTCTCCACACTTCCTTTAATCTACTGGGGTGTCATTGATATGTAATATGGTTTAGATTATGATGAGACTTTTGCTCCTATTGCCAAGATGACTATTGTTCGCACCGTGATTGCAGTTGCTGCCATTCGACAATGGAGTTTGTCTCAAATGGATGTGAAAAATACATTTCTACATGGAGATTTAAATGAAGAGGTTTTTATAACACCTCCCCCTGGATTATCTTATAGTTCTGGTCAAGTATGTCGACTTCATCGTGCCTTATGTGGTCTTAAACAGGATCCCAGGGCATGGTTTGCCAAATTTTCTTCAATTATCTGTGACTTGGGTTTTCGCACTAGTGACCATAATTTTGCACTCTTTTTACGGTCTACTTGCTCAGGTTCTATTATTCTCTTACTATATGTTAATGATATGATTATTACGGGTAATGACACTGCTGACATATGCTTATTAAAAATTCAGTTGCAAGACCATTTTGAGATAAAAGATTTGGGGCAGCTTAGATATTTCTTGGGTATTGAGATTGTTTTCTCTCCTAAAGGATATCTTCTCTCTCAGTCCAAGTATGCTTCAGATGTTATTCAACGAGCTTATTTATCAAATAATCGGATAGTTGACACACCTTTAGAACTCAATGTTCGTTACTCTTCATCTAATAGTACTCCCTTGTCTGATCTAACCCTCTATCGGACTATTTTTGGGAGTTTAGTATATCTTATAGTCACTCGTCTGAATATATCTTATGTTGTTCACATTGTGAGTCAATTTGTTGCCTCACCCAACACTGTTTACTGGGTTGCTGTTCTTCGCATTCTTTTGTATCTCCGTGGTACTCTACATCAGAGTTTACTATTTCCTCACCCTTCATCTATGGAACTCAAAGCTTACTCTGATGCTGACTGGGCTGATGATTCTATGGATCGCAAATCCACCACTGGTTTCTACCTGTTTCTTAGGGGATTCTCTTATTTCCTAGAAAAGTAAGAAACAAACTGTTGTTGCTCGATCTTCTGCTGAAGCTGAGTATCGTGCTATGGCATCTACTATAGCTGAGATAATCTAGTTACGATGGCTCCTTGCTAATCTTGGCATTTCGGTATCATCTCCTCTCCTACTCCTACTCCTACTCCTATGTTCTGCGACAACACTAGGGCTATTCAAATTGCTCATAACTCGGTCTTCCATGAGCGCACAAAATACATTGAAATTGATTGTTACTATGTGCGTCATCATCCGCAGCAGGACACCATCACTCTCCCCTTTCTTCCTTCCACAATGCAGATAACAGATTTTTTTACGAAGTCTCATACCATAGCACATTTTAGATTTCCTCTTGGCAAACTCTTGATGTTTTCTACCACATCATGAGTTTGTGAGAGGGTGTTAGAGTATTCATAATAAGGGTAGTTTAGGCATTTTCTTTATGTTGTGTTGCCCTACTATATAAGGGTTACTTTGTGTATTTCTAGGTTAAGTTGTGTATTACTGACTAGCTTCTTGTTCAATATATTTTTCTCTTTCTCTTCTCTATGATTAATTCTATCACTACATAGCTAAAATATGCTACACCAGGAAATCATCCAGGCTAGGCATCCTGTCAGAAGTACCTGCTTCATTTCATCACGTCCATCTCTATTCCTTTTTTGCAAGCTTTCTGTTTAACTACAAGAAGGCTATTGGCCTATCATGCAGAGTCCAACCCACTTACACAAGATGCTGAGTGGGGTGGACAAAATAACCAAGTAATTTGGGGGCTGATTCAATGTCCAAATACCAACACAAGCAAAACTGGACCTAATCAAAAGAAACCAAGAAAGCAAACTTCAGCTCCTGGCACATGAACAGTATGCAGGAGTGACCCACTCACCATCAACATGCAAATCAGCCAGAGGATCTAGATGTTGGCATGTGATTCCAATGATCATGATGCACAAGACTGTTCCTTTGTTTGCAAGAACGTTTACAAATTCTGCTTATGTATGTTATCACCATTTCTGACGATCAATGAATAGTTGTTGAATGAGGACGTAAGGACCTTGCCAAGGGAAATCAGTAGCTTCAGCAGAATACAGCTGCAGCAATTTTGACCTCTAGCACTTTCTTCTTCCACGTTACAGTAAAGTGTTTCACGCGATAAAGATGGTTCTGGGTCGATGTTGTTAGAAATTTCTAGTGGATTCCTCCACAAGGTCATGCCAGTAAACCCCTAGCAAATTTTTTTGTCAGCAACTATATGATGTACCTCAATATATTACACTCAATCCAACCAAGCTCTACTGTATAAAAAAACCTGATTCTACAATTCCAAATTTCGAACCCAGATAAATAATATGTTCCGAAACCCTTATACTAACCATCTCTGAGGAGTATTTGAGTAAACCATTTATATGATCTCATCTAAACTATTTGCTTGCTCCGCACAGGTATCATGCAGAAGTGCAAAACAACGTTCATGGAGACAGTGGTTTCTAATCTACAAGGGTTACATGATTACTCTCAATCATTCAGGTGAAACCAATAAACTAATTCTCAATTGAAGATATCTAACATTTTCTTCTATAATCACATGAGTTGTAACAAGTTTTCCTCATTAATGTCAACACCAATTTACGATTGTAAATTTTGAAATCCAACACAATTACAGCAGTAAACTCTTAGACTTATAATTATGCTGTACACTACAAGATTCCAAAAAGCATAGTGTTTATAGCTCATACAAAACCATTTATGTGACCTAGCATGGTTGTATAGCCTATTGTGGTTCACCACTTTATTAATTGTGATGCATTGTTCTAGCTTTCTTGTTTGAAAACCCTTTCCTATGTCTCAAGTGAAAAGCACACAGGACATGATAAACACAGACAATAGTGTGCAAGTCAAGACTCTTGTAAGGACTGATAGCACACAAAAATAGGAGTACAATCACACAAGAGTACAAGCCTTTAAACCTGAGGTTCCTACTATCAACAGTTTGTCAATTAAGGACAAAAACAGATGAATCAAATCAAACAGCAGAAATCTATCACTCGCCAAACCCTTCCTCATCTTTAGTCAAATATTTCCTCAAAAACTTGTCATTCGACAAATTTTCATCACTAAAGTAATACTCTACCTGCATACACACAAGGATTTAAATTTAACACATTTTGCTTAACAAGACAAAAACTTAAACTAAATCAACTCCCTACAGCCATCACCATCAAAACAACCAAAAATTTAGACTTCAAGAAAGTCTAAACAACAAAGGAAGGGTAGGAGTTTAGAAGCTGTCAAGCAACTGAGCAAATATTTTGCCACCTTGAGGACAATGAGGTCCTCTGAACCACAAGGATTTAACAATACTCCATTGAAATCCATAATTTCAAATTATTTAAGATGTCAAACAAGATTAGAATAAAAGAGGTTTTTAAAAATACTATGCCAGTATATTGTGGTCAAATAATCCAGACAACGATTATGACCATGAACTAGGGGTCTATAGGTCACGATCATCAATGGAAATGAATACACGCATGCTTATATACAATCAAGCAAGAGGGAAATTGTTGATGTCTTGGTGTCCATTAATTGGCACAAGGGACCAGTTCATATTTCAGCAATGGCATAAACTCGCCCTAAGTTTGTGTGTTGAAACATAAATAGAGCTCAACTAATTACAAGGAGACCTTCTAATATTTCAACATTCCTATAAGAATCCCAAAAGTTGTATGTTGTAGCAAAAACACCCCTTCAGAGATTGCACATGCATAGTATATATATGCTATGATTTCTAGAATATATTGCAATATATTAAGGGGGAGTACAAGTTTAGTCTCTCCTTTAAAGAATCTTATGGGTCCAACATCAACATAATTCCAAAAGATGAAATACATATATTCAAATATAACTCTGTGAGGAGTAAACATATAACTTCAAATAAGAGAGGTTACAAATAGATTACACGCGCAACCCATGTCTCCCTCATCTTTTGCTCTATTCTTGCTCTGTCCCTCTCACCATCATGTAATGTCAATCAATCATTTCCGTAATCTGATTTTCTTTCTTTTATATTAAGTTCTAATATTTTAGTAAATGATTATATCATGCACACACGCATGCATCATTTGTAGTATCAGGAAAAAAAGAAAAAGGAAAAGAAAAAGAAAAAGAAAAGAAAAGAAACCTGGTATCTCAAATTTTGGAGATCATGCCGTTCATTTCACATTCTTGTAAAAATGTAAAATCTTAGGATAGTGATAACAGGAAAATATTGAAATAGTTTGAAACTCAATGTCAAGGCAAGCATATGACTTGATATTTCATCCACGTGGCCATGCCACAGACAAGCTTTGAAATTTAACTGCCCCATCAAAAGTCAAATTCACCAAGACAACATTATATACATAATTTCAATGATTTTAACAATTAAAAAAACTAGCATACAGTCTAATTTCTTTGCAATGTAACTTCTGATATTTGGTGATTCACCAATCATTCATTCTTGGTGCAAGTACTGAGTCCTTCCAGAGATGGCACTGATCAGTTGTTGTGTTTCTTCAAGGAAGAAAATTCTGGAAAGTCAACATCTTGGTAACTGTGGCTCGATGCCCTTTTGACAAGAAATTTATACGGCAGAAAGTTATACCTCGTGATCACTAAACAGTAAAGACATATTCCTCCGGTCTTCCATTTCATTTCCAAACTGTAAATTCAATGATGCCATATTGTCTAAAACCCCTCTCAGATACTAAACTAAATATATATATATATATATATATATAATTTCCCACAGACCCTATGTAGAAAACTGAATTCTCCAAACCCAATAGGCATTTAAACACTCTCATTAATTTACAAACCCCTACACAAACTGTAAACAACACTTACTACAAAGAATAGTTGCTCAAAACCCAATTTAGAAAATTAAATGCACAAAACTGGATTCAAAACCAAACAGTGCCGTTCTTAATAAACCTACTCGAAATATGAACGAAAACTATCACAACAGAACAATTAATTAAAAACCCAAAAAAGTGAAACCGATGGTGAAATCAAACTGAGACAAGTCAAGCCTAGTAAAAAAGTAATGTAGTAGTTTCACATACAAAATATACACTTACATACTCACTTGCATGATGTAAATACTAGCTATAAGGGACAGAGAGGGATGGAGAGAGAGAGAGTTGCCTGCTTGACGATCTAATCGCGAAGATCACTGGGGAGAATAGTGGTGATGTCCGAAGTGTGAGTTTCATCGGACGGCTGAAGGAGTTCATGGAAGTGAAAATCGATGGCTTCGAGTGATCCTACGGGAAAGACGTCACTGTGTGGAGTAGACGATGGGACGATGACCCCTTCGGCTTCCGTGTGAGAGAGAGAGAGAGAGAAGAGAGAGAAGCTGTAGAAATGAAGAGAAAATGTGTAAGAACCTTGCCGCTCTTTTTCTCCTCTCAAAGGCCTCGTACTATGTTACACCGATCAAAATTAGGAACAAAAATGAGTGATTAAATGAAATATCAGCTGACGTAAAAAATTGATTAGGCAAATATTAATTCAATTTTTTCCATGATTTGCATAATGTGGGTATTCAATCATAAAGAGTATTTGCATTAATTCACTTCGTTCCTTGATTTGCACAATGTAGGGATTCAACTAAGAGGAGTATTTGCACCGGAGAAACTCTCCACATCAACCATCGTGTCATTTGATCATTCGTTCTAGTCCATAATTTTTCTCTGCATAACATTATTCATAAATAGTAAAACAATAGAATATAAATTTGAACATTTCAAAAATCAATTTTACAATATTAAAATTTTTTAATATGTGTATATTATCATATATAGATAGTGTTTGAAATAAAAACTATATTAAATTACAAATTGATCAAATATTAAATGATTAAATATGTGATGGAAATGGATGATGTGATATTTTTAGGAAAAAAAATATATAAGAGATAAAAATTCAAGTTATTACGTGTTTTATTATATAGATATTCAATACACACCACGTCATCACTGTCACATGATATCACCATCCAACTAAAAGACTAGAAATAGGTAAAGTGAATCCCCCTATTTTCATTACTACTAATAACCCCCACCACCACATTTAATCAACAATACATGGGATTAGTAGGATCCACTTTACTTATTTATTGTCTTCTAATTAGATGTGACATCACGTAGAAGTAATGACATTGTGTCACCGTTGTAATAAAAATTTTCTCCTCGTATTGAGGCTGCAATAAAAGAATTCTAATTTTTTATTATATAAATTGACAATGTAAAACACTTAATATTATGCATTATGCAAGTAATTATTTGTAGAAATAGAATACTATGATAAACACAAAAAATAAATTTATGAGAAACAATAACGATTATTAATTTTTGAACTACATTGTTATTTTTTTATCTGATTAAGTATGTAATAAGAGAAATTAAATATTTTAGAATATAAATTAAGAATTTGAGAATATTTTAGGGTAAAAAGTGTCATTTACTTTAAAAAGTTTTTTAAAAAATAACTCAATAATAAAGTTTTAAATTTTTTTTGTGTTTTTGTGGTAAAAGAAAAACAGGTGTTTTGAAGCCAAATGTTGATTGATGGATAGTTGAATAGAGAGATTTATCCTTTTATGTTCTCATTCATGTTGAAAGTACTCTATCACTTAGAGATCATGAATATCTTGTAAATTGATATAAATTATGACATATCGCAGGAATGGAATCCGAAACGCATCAATAAGCAATTTCTGAATCAGACGTTTTCAATAAAAGGCTATCTATAAACCAAAATCACTACCACTTTCATTCTCATAGATAGATTGAATCCCAAACCTCACATACAACTTAGAAGCAGGGGCTTGGTTTACCAAAACTCCCATGCCAAAACCATACACAACACTTGCAGCTTATATAAACAACAACAACCACCTCAACCTAAACTTAAACCAGAACCAAAAAACACAGCCAAAACCCTAAACCCAACATCACCCCCAATCCAACAAGTCCATTTCTAATAGACCCTGACTGTTCTACCCTTACATCATCCACCACAGGTCCACACAAAGAGATCATATCATCACTCCGGGTATTGTAATAGACACTATAGAATGCCACCCGCGTCCTCTCAGCCCTGGCAGTGAAGTTCAGGCTAGCAGTCTGGAAGGTGGAGTTAGCATTGGGTGTGTAGTGGATGTTTTGTGCTTGATCCCCAGCAAAGGCCATGACTGCAAGTGGTAGTTTGCATTTATCCCCAGCATGTCCTAAAGCAAATGTCAATCTATATGGCTTGTTGGATTTGGTTTCAACCATTTGGGAGATTATGCCTTCCTTACCAGAGAGCAATTCGATGGCTCGTTTGCCTTGTGGGACAGAGAAATGGTAGGAGTCGATGTAACGTACTGCCCTGTTCGATTCAACTATCCAACCAGGCAATGAGGAGGTTTCTTCATCGAGGTTGGTGGGAAGTAAGACACCTAGTGATTCATTTCTGAACATCCATGCTCCTTCTTCAAAGTCACCATTGAGTACTGCATTATCTGCATGGAATGTAGAAAAATGGAACACCTTAGCAATTTGATATAATGAGTAATTTGTGAACTACTTTGTGTAGTCGGAAAACTATCAAACTAACAATCATAAGGTAAGAATCCAAACGGGCTGATCGTAACTTTGGTAATCATTTTTTATTACTGCTGCATTCAAAAAGGCATAAGAAGTTTATCTGCTGGGCTAAGTTAGGTGACCAAATCACATTAACAACCCTAGATTCAGCAATTTCAAACATTTGATATGGTTACCCATTTAGTAGATGCTGTTTTAGATGATGAAGGAAAAACAGCTGGAAGGCTGCTTAAAGTTTTTATGTGGAATCCATGCACAATGGTTTCAATTCTAGTGTTGATTTGCAAATGATCAGTTGGCCATCCAAAGACTTTACAAGATAAAGCCACTCTTGAGCCTCTCATTATTCACTTTGGCCTTCATGGACTCACAAAAAGGCAATGGCGGGGATCAATTAAGGGGTGACAATTTCTAATACAATACGAAAACACCACTTGAAATAGACACGAAATGGTTAGGGGCTGACTATTTCCAACACGAACCCATAAAATGACACGACACAATTGCTACTCCTAATTGGGATTCTCTCGATTCTAAATTTTGTCATTTTTGCTCAAATTCAATCATCTACCTCTAAATCCATTGGGTTTGATCACTGAATTCCTTATTGATATCCAATAGGACATAATAAATTAACCAGTCGATGATTGAACCTAATCAAAATTGTCAAAATTTGAAATTCATAGAAGAAATTCAAATATAACCCACATCCCAAAAAATAAATGTTAGGGTACAAGGTTAAGGACCCATTGGGATGTCTATTAACTGGGTCCCATCCACATATAGAGAATTGAATGAGAGATTAGTGTCATGGGTCCTCCCAGCATCCAGTGGGACCCGGCTATCACAATGACAAATGATTGAAATTGATAGTAATTAAAATTTTTTCAAATTAAGTGGATCCAAAGCCCTTTTTTTCCCCCAATCATCCACGTAGACCGTTAGCACAGTAAACTCTACCACCTTTATTAGATATCCCATAACTGTTATTGTGACCGTGAGATGGTAAAAGCGTAGTAATGTATAAAGATGGTATGAGTTTTTTATAAAAAAGAAAAAAAAAACTGACCTTTGGGCTTGCCAGGAACGAAAAGCTTCTTGATAGCAATATCATCAATAATGGGTCCACAAGTGGGGTCATCCTCCATGCCAGGATTTCTTAAAACCACCTGAACATCATCCTCCTCCGCCTGAAAGGCACACGCGTACGAATCCCACCCCTGAACACTGTACACAGTCTGCAAGTCAATGGTCTGTGACGCAGGAGGAATCGACACGTTCAGTGACTCTAGCTGAGCGCAAGTGCGAGCCGCACTGAACGTGACGGAATAAACTGAGCCCTTTTCGAGTTTGACCTGTTGACTGATCTCAGCGTCATTGCCGAGTCTCACTGCGTGTGCACCCTGTGGTACGATGAGGATCATCGCACCCTGTTTTTGCCCTGACGCGACGAGCTCAACGGTGCCGTTTGATTTCCAGCTGGGAATTGAGGTGGGCCCGTCTATAATTCCTTCGTTGGAGAAGCCTCCAGACGGAAGGGCCTCGAAATCACCGTTGGTTAGTAGACCTGAAAGATCAAACGATGGTGCTTAAATTTAGGGATAAAATTAAGAATATAATGGACAACAGGACAAGACAAGCATGCGTTGAAATGATTTGGCAAAATAACCAACAGAGATATGACAGTGTACTCGACGTAAGATGGCAAACACAACGTAAAGCGCTTAAGGGGGAGTGTGGTTTCACATGCCAATCACAGAGCCGATGGGCCAAAAGTTATCCAATCATGCAAGAGCGTGGGACATACGCCCCTACACTTTTGTTAAGTCTAATATAGTATTTCATTTGGTCCATCGAAAGAGGTCACCGAATTGTATCGACAACTCAATTACTTAGAAGATGACAGACTTAACTATTCAACCATCCTAAATAGAGGACGTCCAATTTTACCCAAAAATATCATTTTTTATGTAGGCAATTCATACAAAGACTAGTTTATTGTACAAAAATCTATCCTTGTCTCTCTTCTCTCTCCCATGTTTCTCTTTTATTTTTTTATTGTACACTTTAATTTTAAATTATATAATTTAAAATTACTAGTTATTGTTTAAAGGTACGAAATAATAAAAAATAATAAATATATTTACATTCATATTCAAAATTAAATCATAAATATAAAAAATAAATAAATAAATTTAAATATCAATTATAATGAGTGTGAGAGGTGATAAACCATAGTGATAGTGTTAAAAGATGATAATGATTGTAATAGGTGACAATGACTATAATGGCAGTGGTAATGGTGGTGGTAGTTGTAAAGATAGTGGTGGTGTGGATGGTGGTAGAGGAATGGTGGGACAGTTCCAAATATTTTTTTTTTTTAAAATACTTACGAAAAATAATTTTTAGAAGTACTTTTAAAAAATCACTTCAAATACACCCTTAGGAGACTATTCTTCCTATTAAATTTAAGGTATTTTCTTCCTATTAAATTTAAGGGGTTAATATTAACCGTTAGATTAACTTTAAAATAAAATTTAAAGCGATCTAAACCGCAAAAAATAAAAGTTATTTTTTTTATTTTTAAAATTTAAATTATAAAATATTTTATTATATAGATACAAACAAATTATAATTTAAAATATAAATATTACATAATTAATATTAAATATTTAATATTATACAATGTCTCCACACACAATATTATTGATAATATCTATGGTTTGTCATATTAGGAGAGAAATATATGTTCTAAATAAGAAATTTTACTTTACACCCTGTATTAAAGAAGTAGATTGGATTTAATTTCAATCAATTTAAATCCAAATCTAATTTAAAAAATTTGACTCATGGATTTTAATTTTGTAATTCATATCCTATACATTGAAAATAAAAAATAAGATTCAAAATTCCAAACTGATTAAATAATCCAAATAAACCAACAAATTGTATCAAAAAAAGAATTAAATTCATCAAACCAACACTCAGTTGCATTATATCTATATATTAGTACATATACATATATATATATATATATATAATTTAATCTTCATCTATTTTGATCCAATTGTACAAAATTCATCCCAAAAATTTCCTTCTTGTCCAAAAATATCAACTTCTTTACACAACTCTAATACTAAACAACTCAATCAACACATTCTTCAATGTCAAATAATCCTATCAATCCACACCTACTTCTCTCTCTTCATTTTTATTTTAAATTAAGTGATTAAAAAACTAAATTGATAATTAAATTATAAATATTACAAGATCAATGTGCGCCTCCCCCCTACAAATTTGATATCTTCTACAAAGAAACTCATAACACAAACTCCATTTGTAATTCCATCAAAGACTCAGACTATCAAAAATATGAATTAATCCAACCAATCCCCTTATTCCCTCAATTAAGGATCTTGCATATAAAACATCTATGTAACCACGATTATATGACCAACTATATATAACATTTATTATTTTGATTTTTGATATTGCAAGACAACTCAATATAAATATTGTCTTCAAACACAAAATATTATTAATATATATATATATATAATTTATTCATACCTTAAAGAAATACTTTCTTAAGTAATAAAAAGAGATGTAAGTATAATTTATCCATACAAAACAAAAAAAAAATAGATTTTATTACTTTTATATATTTATAATATCACGTGATAATAAAGACGGAATAATATTTTGTCCGGTATAGATAAGAATATATTTAGGGTCCAACGGTGGCTGTAGTGCAGTGAGTAGTGAAGATGGTGGAATGTGAACACAGCTCATGGCATGGGACTCGTCCCATCGCAATCTTAAAAGCCCAAGATACCGCGATAAGCGCGTTGCCGGGGCCTACCCTTTTTCGGTTTGGCGCCTTCTTTTTCTTCACCTGCCTGCGCCGATCCTCACACCACCCAAGAAAAGTTTTTTGTTTTCTCTCTGCTTTCGGATTATGATCATGACGGTCTTCTCTTATGCAACGAGAAAGAGTGGGTACCGGTGTCGTCTCGTCTACCAAAAAGCACTTTATACATAAACTGTACGAGTTCTCTATGATACTCCATACTTATTAAATTAGTATTAATTAAAAAAAAATTGTTACCATGTAAACATTTATGTTTTGTGAAGGTTGTAAGTGTGCAATGCACATAGTGAGTACAACCGACAACATTACTCAAGAGCATGGACTTGACTATGGTACTAAAAAAAAAAAAAATCAGTATCATACATTCATTTACCACCTTTATGATTACTTTTATCACATTTATAAATCTTTCAATTATCATTGTAATACTCAAAAAAAATGATAAAAATAATTATCAAAATAGTGATAAAAATATCTATAAATGTGACAAAAATACACACAAATATAATAAACATATCCACAAATGTGATAAATTTTTTCATACCAATAAAAAGTGGTAAAAATAATCATCACAAATATAGTAAAAACACACATAACAGTGATAAAAATATCCATAAAAATAATAAATCACTCACAAATGTAATAAACATATCCATAAATGTGATAAATTTTTTCATACCAATAAAAAGTGGTAAAAATAATCATCACAAATATTGTAACAACACACACAACAATGATAAAAATATCCATAAAAATAATAAATCACTCACAAATATAATAAACATATCCACAAATGTGATAAATTTTTTCATACCAATAAAAAGTGGTAAAAATAATCATCACAAATATAGTAAAAACAGGTACAACAGTGATAAAAATATTCATAAAAATAATAAATCACTCACAAATGTAATAAATTTTTTAATTGTAAAATTTATCCATAAAAACACGCATTTCGTGCGAGTGTGAACATTCCTGACCGTTGAACAAAAAAAAAAACCCTTGGAGCTAAAAAAAATGTGTCAGAATGGAAGAGATGAATTGGTGTGAGATTACAGAAACTCAGAACCAAAATTGAGAAAACATTATGAATTTTAGACAACAGCAACATGTTTTGAACTAGTCAAGGCAGGGACCACCCAAAATAATCCTCGTGAAAGAATTAAAGAACATTGCAGGAAACGCTGACTCAGGTCTGAGGAGGGCTTCAAAGGGTCTTCAAAGGAGTACTTAATGAATTGCATTCAATTGTGGGGCACAATGTTGAGTGCTTTATATTTGGCTCATAATTGTTTGAATACATGTAATCACCCGTAAATTACACATCTTATGATAATTCTAAAGACGTGCGGATTTAGACTAAGCAATTCGACCACTTAACCCCGATGTCGGCCGTCTTGGACATTACATGTGATTAGGATTATGCTCAAATTCAGAGACAGAGACGGACCATGACAACCCTTAGAGAATATAAGAAGGAATTAAACCCGAGTTACCAAAATACACACCCATGCCCAACCACTGGACCACCCAAAAAACGAAAATGTACAGAGAATGTAACTACATATAAAACCCCTATATACTTATCAAATATCAAACAAAAGCTTATGATTTTATGAATTGAATCCATTTCACAATAGAACCCAAACAGACCCTAGTATAATTTTCCTCTTTCAACCAAGGTTTCCTCAAGAAAATGATAGGAATTGACCACACTGCAGCCATGGAGCATGATTTTTCCAGAGAGTTCTAAATTCTGTAACCAATAGCCTTCAATATGAAATAGGAGAAGAACATGATTCTCATCAATGGAAGACTCGGAATATACCCACACTGAAGAGCAAATTTAATAGACTTCACTTTATTGACAGCAATGCTCATCAGATCTCGAAAATACCAAACACACCCACAAAAGAAAAATCGAAAATACCAAACACCCACAAAAGAAAAATGCACATAAGAGAAGAGAAATCTACCAAACAAGCCATATGAGCTTACAAGAGAGAAGAAAAAGGAAATGTAAGTAGTGAGGAGCAAAGAACACATACCATCATCTGCCAGTACAGTAGCTGAATGAGCCAATAGCAGCACAAACACACAGACCCATTTGCTTCTTCCTGTGCTCGAAACCATTTTCATCTCCAAATTCTCTCTCTCTCTCTCTCTCTCTCTCTCAAAACAGAGTACAGCAGTGAGGTCTGAGGGAGTGGGAGAGAAAAGACAGAGGAAGTGTCTTTTTATCAAAGATTCGAGCTCTGTGTTCTTGACCTTTTATCAAACTTAATAAGTGGTATTTTCTTTATTTTAAATCAATCAATGAACAAAGATTACTTTAATCAAGTTGTAGAAAAAAAGAGGGTTTCTTTAAATTTATTAATTTGTACAATGAGTGAAAAAGTTCTTGCGAGTGTTCCCACCTCTTCAAATATTCCGTGGCTTGAGGGAACTGGTTATCTGATGGGGGACGCGGTCCACCGCCGTACTTCGATTGAAGTGAAAGTGCTTTTGACAATAGGGTAACGCTGTGTTGAGTAGAAAATTATTAATTTCAATCACAATTAAGACTTTAATCCAGTAAAATTTTACGAGTTCGGAATGTATTTGTCGAATTTATTTTTTTAAGTTAAAAAAATTATTCAAAATTGATTTATTTAAAAAATAAATCGAGCTTGAACTAAGCCCAAAATGAGATAAACCCGAACCAAGCTAGAGTAAATAAAATATTTTACATATAAATGAGCTGAATTTTACGAACTTGAGTTGAATTTTTTAGACTCTTTTTTTTAAACAAACCTAAAATATTGATTAATTTCGACTCGTTTAAAATACGAACTGAATTTGATTCAAGTTCTATATGAATTAAATTTGAGCCGAGTCTAACTAGCTCTGCTCGATTACCAGTCATAATCGCAACTTGTGATTATAGATACTATTTTTTTGGTATCATTTCAAGACTATTATCACAATTTTAAGAAAAAATGTTATTTGGTCATAATTTATTAATCTTATTTGTTAACTTAATGCATTTTAGCAATTAAATTAGTAGCAGATCTCAATTAATAGTGGAGTCTATTGTCAATCTAAAAACAAAAAATAATTAAGTCAACAAATTAAATTTAAATAATATTACTCTAATTTTAAATAATTCCTATGCATAAAATTTGGTGGATGTCGGTTTTTTGGACTCTGCAAAAAAAAAAAAGGGGAAATTACTTAATGCAAAAAGAACTCTGTTTATAGTGGTGTGGAAATGAACTAAAAGGGTGATAAGCTCATAAATTTGTTTCTTTATTCGAACTCGCCACAAATTGTTAGGGAGAAGAGTAAATTGTGAAAGGTTTTGTCAAGAAATTGATGATTATGAAGCAATAAAAATGAAAATTGAAAACAAAGAAAGAAGATAAAGTCTTGGCTACAAAGTCGCATATGAAGACTTCTCAAAATACCTTAATGATTAGATAAAAGTAACTGTCCTGAAGACCTAGTTTCCGTGGTATTTGACTTAAGCTACTAATAATTGGACATAGGATGCGTTCCGTACAGCACTCGTGACCATTTTGTTGAAAAAAACTTCGAAACTCAAAGGTTGTCTTTGAAAAAATCAAATCAGTCATGAAATGGATTCTTGTTATGAACAGCACTTTGATACTCAATAGGACAAGTTTTTTTTGCTGCGTTTTAAACTTAAAAACTAGTAGAGACTGGAGGAAACTCACTGACTTACACCTTGAGCAGTCTCTAAGCACTTGGTGAAAATTGGAGAAAAGCTAAAGAAATTTGACATTGATCATCGTCGGCTGGCCGCTCTAGCGGCCTTAACACAGATCGAGTAATCTCTATTCTAGAGGCCTGGATATGTTTATACTAACATTCCAGTGATCACCACTGGTTCACAACTCGAACGGTCCCTCTCTTATTTGATTTTTTTTGTACTTTAATTAAATTATTTTTATACGACTTATATATACATGGACATTTTTGTTATAAAAAATATGTATATAATTAGATTATATTAAACTGTATAAAGTCTATATTATGTACTAATCTAAAGAAAATGTATAGAAATTAAAACAAGTGCACTCACAGGGAACACATATCGACACGAACAATTAATAAGAAAATCAGAATAGATAAACTGAGTCTTGTGAAATACAATCTTCTTAAGACAAATTTGCTCCTTATCGGTGCTCAAGGTTAATGAGCAACTGTCTCTCAAAATATAATAGATTTTCGTTCTTAAAAAAATAGCACTTCAATCTTCAAAATTCCAGCGAATACAATATGTGTTTATACTTGAACCGAACCAAAAGAACAAAACAATGTAGCAATATATATAGAGAGAGAGAGAAAGAGAAAGAGAAAGAGAGAAGAAATATTTTGAAACTGGAATCCAGAATGGGATGTATTGAAATGACAAAGGGGCAGTCTATTTATAAACTCTTGGTGGCTGTTCAGATTGCCTGAAAAGGCATGGGTTGCCACTATTGAGACTGGAGAGACATATTTTTTAATCTGAACAGGCAAGAGACACCTCCTGGAATGAACAGTCTCTCTAGAATGAATTCATACCCTTTTTTGCGCTAAGTTAAAAAATAACGACAAGAAATTTAAAATATTGTTTAGATTTAAATTGCGGTTGAATTTTAATTTCAATCCGCGATTGGATCTGATTTGTTTGACCCATGATCTACACTGCTCCAAATAAATTTTGGTCAAAAAGATTATAACTTTTTGGCCTAAGATTGAGCCCAATCTCCACCGGGGTCGGGTCGGGTCGGGGTCGGGGTCGTGCGCGTGGCGTGGTGAGGCAAGTTAAGGTAAGGCAGGCGGCATGCGTCTTTGATAACCAAGGTAGTGTAGGCGCTCGCTCTACTCACAAAAGTGTGGTAACCCTTGGGATCCAACTCATGAAGCCAACTAGGAGTATATTAACTCAAAAAAATGTTGGTCTTCTTCCAATGTTGGACAAACCTTATTTTACTACAACAATCTTAGTTTATTTTATCACCTCAAATAGGTCACTTTGAGACATAATTTTTCATTCAAATCTTAATGGTTTTGAAAAAATAAATATATCATGCTAATCTCCTCACGGAGGAAAACGCTTTTAAACTTGGTCCCACCAATTTTGAGATGTGGATCCCACTTTTATTTAAGCCTTAATTTGCTCAAATAATTTGTGTAAAAACATTTTTTTCCCCAACAATCCTCAAATGAATGAAAATTCGATGTATGAAAACGCAAACACTGGTTCAAGTACAGATGAAATGTTATTGCATCCGGATAAGTAGCCAGTGGTCTTGAACTTTCCATAGTGACAAACTATCGGATTTATTTGGCTATCCAGTTGACATGATTATTTAAACTATTAGCCATTTGTATAAACCAAGATAATAGAATTCACACCGTTTCTCTTTGGACACAATTGGTTCTCATGTTTGTATTCATTGTGGCCTTGAACACCACTTAGTTTCATGAGTAATTTTAAAGTAATCAGCCTACGATTCTCATAGAAACGACCTCTTCTTTACTCACATAGGTGATTTTTGATTAAGAGTATCCTATTATACCTCACTTAGACATTTTTAAGTCATAGAATATCATTAAAAACGTAACTTATCCTAGTTCTCATGGCAAATGTGCACTATCTCATCATAGGAATGGGAAGGAATTTTAAAAATCTTCTTAGTGCGTTTAGTTACACATAATTTAGTTGTCCCTTTGAATTTTGATTTTGGGATCTCTACTAAGCTAAGTTGGGTTGCCATTATGGTGACTCTTGGTTAAGTAATAGGCTTTAAGCTCATTCCTCTTGATGAACTTTTCAATTGCTTTCTAGTCAAACCTTTTGTAAGCAGATCCATAATATTATTCTTTGACTTCACATAGTCAATGGATAAAATACCATTAGAAAGCAATTGTCTAATGGTATTGTGTCTAGACTTATCACTATACATACAATTTTGTGCCTTTCCAATCGTAGATTGGCTATCACAATAAATGCATATTGCAAACACAAGCTTTGAGCAATTTGAAATATCCTGTAAGAAGTTACAAAGTCATTCTGCTTCTTCTCCAGCTTTATCTAAGGTAATAAACTCAGATTCTATTGTAGATCTAGCAATACAAGTTTGCTTTGAAGATTTTCAAGACACGACTGCACTACCTAAGGTAAAGACATATCCACTTCTAAATTTTGAATCTTTAGTATCAGATGTCCAATTAGCATCGGTATATCTCTTGAGTACTATTATGTAATTTCGTTTAGTGCAAACCATAATTTTGAGTATGTTTTAAATATCTCAAAACTCTAATAATTATTTTTCAGTTGTCTTTTCCAAGATTACTTGTATATCGACTTAGCTTACTCACTAAATATGCTATATTTGAATGGGTACAATTCATTATGTACATTAAACTACAAATTATACATGCATATTCTAACTATGATATGTTATTATCATTATTCTTAGAAAGATAAATATTAACATCAACATGTGTTCTCATAGGTTTTAGCTCATACTTCTTGAACTTATTACGTACTTTTTCAATATAATGATATTGAAATAACATGAGTCCATCTAACGTTCTAAAAATTTTAATTGCTAATATAACGTCAACAATACCTAGGTCTTTCATTTCAGACCTATTTGTCAACATCTGTTTGGTAGCTTTAATGATATCATTATTGCTGCCTATAATTAGCATGTCATCAACATAAAGACACAAAATAATGTATCCACTATGAGTGCCCTTGACATATACATATTTATCACACTCATTTATTTTGAACCCATTTGACAACATTGCTTTGTCAAATTTTTCATACCACTCTTTCGGTGCTTGTTTTAAACCGTACAGAGATTTAATAAGCTTGCATACTTTCTTTTCTTGTCTATTAGCAACGAACCCCTCATGTTATTTGCTTGATTGTTTTCGTCTTTCCTAATCTCCAACCATGATTCCGGTAATGTATATGTGGCTTATACGGTTAGGTGAGTATCACTCTCCCTCGAATATCATGCAAGAAATGGGAAAACGTGTGTGTGAATGAAATATGTGTGTGTGTGTGTGCAAAAGTGCTCCCTAAATGTAGAGAGACTTTTGAGTGTCATGTTTTACTAGGAATTGAGTATTTC